GTCGCAACGTCTCCAAAGGAAGAAGACAAACGCGCAAACATATATAGTAGGCGCTACATATATGTACGATCCACTGTCCCTTTGTCCGTTTGAAAACATGTTCGTGTAGCAACTGCTTGACTTTCTGCTTCCGCCGAAGCGAATCGACCCCCCGCCGTTTCGGTGGCTTCCTCGTAGGGCTCCGGTTTGGCCACGCACTGGTCCTGCAGCTTTGCCATGTAGTCCTGCTTTTGCGGAAGACTACCAAACCGATTGAAAACAACGACCCCGACAAAGTAAGCTGCCTACGGCTGCTCAGACGGTGGGATGTTCAGAACACGCCAAGCTCCTGAAAATCCCGCACAAAGTTGTGCACACCTCCGTTCGCAGTTGTTCCTGGGAAAGTGAGATATTTCTAGTAGTCATAGACCCTTTGAAGGCTACAGGGGAAAGAAACCATATTCTTAAACAAGTGGAAGGCGGCGCCCTACTGTGGGCAGACCAAGACGCTTGCTCTCGTGTAGCGTGGTGCAAGCGCATAGCTAGGTGTTTTCAATTTTCTGCAAGTCACGGTGGCTGTTGCAGCATTCAGCGCCGAGCTAACGCCAAGCTGGCGCTGCTGGTGGGTGTTGCATGATTTACAGTAGGATGCTTCTGGTGCGGGCCCGCTTCAGCAGCCAGAAAAAGAAATTCACAAGACGCAGCGTGAACTACGGCGCGGACTCGTCATTGCGCCCCACTGAAAGCCGTGCCTTGGTCAGACAACAAAGACCCCTTGTCAACTCAACTGAGTTTCTGGGCCCAGGGTCTGAGGACATCATGTAAAACCTAAGAGGTAAGGAACCAGGCTGGAAAAGTTGCACAGGACGGCTGATATAAACCAACTTCCCTTGCAACTCATCGAAGCGCCACATTGGCGCTACTGATAGTTTCAACGAAAGGGTGCACTCCCTTTTTCGTGTGAAATCTGTTAGTGCCAATTTGGGAGGATTAGCCCAGCTTCACTGGGCTGCTCCCCTCAGCAGCTGATGGGAGTCGATTTGATGCCCCTCCCACAGCGAGGGAATCGCCCTCCCGGCATTATGGGTGAGGAAGAAAAAAGGTCGCTCCTAGTTGAAGGAAAAACTTGGTGTTCAACCGGAAATTGGGGATCCTGATGTCAGCCCACTGATTAAAGTTGCGTTTCACATGCGACGGCTCCAACATGACTTGGTTGTCGACTAGCTCCATCAAGATGGCCGCGCTGGGCCTTGCCCTGGTTGTCACTGGCAGCCAGGATCCGGGAGCGAAGCAATGGCTCGTTGAGGGTCTCCCGTGGCGAAAGCCCACTTGTACTGGAACCACTTCACTTGGTTTTTCAAGCACTCCTGCGCAGCCGAGCACCAACCTCCAACCCATGCGTGGTCCGCCTGCTTGCCTGTGCCTGCATTAGATGCTCCCGTCCACGGAAGTGTGGAGCGTGACGAGGTCATGGGGGGAACAAGTGGTACAGGAGCCTGAGCACCAGTGCCGCCTTTCTGGCCCACTTTATTTTTATTGACCCACCCGTTCTGGAGCCAGTCTTTGGGGAGCACCTTAAGGTGGGAAACCAGGTCCAGAAGGAAGGGTTGTCCCGGGTCCTGATCATGCAGATGCTTCGGCCCCAAGATGTCGCGGATCTCCTCCAAGTGTCAGGCCGGGAGATTTTAAGCTTGTTGATCCCTGCCCAGTGTGGCAAGGGGACTCGTCTTGGCACGGGTTTGCCTCGGGCGGTCAGGGACCTGGTCAAGTTGTTCTCCCGTTTCCGGCATTGCCGCCTCTTGGCCGTTGGGGCACGGGAGAGGTACCCATGTGAGTGATGTCCGGTTCCGGTGCCCGCTGGTGTGTGTCCGTTTGTCCCAGAGGGTTACGGTGCTTGTCTCTGGTTCCGGTTGGATCCACCATTGGTCGGGATTTCGGAGGATTGGCCTGATTTAAAGGGGGTGTTACCTGGATTGGAATTGGAACTGGACCCCCACGTTGTGGGCCCTTTGTGTGATGGCTCGGCTACTAAGGTCCAAGGGATTGTGCGCATGTGATCGATGCGTGCATCGAAGTTGGTCCCACTCCTGAATTGGCAAGTCAGTGGCTGGCGTGGCGGCCTTCTTGACGAGTTGCCCCAGGCGGCACTGATCGAAGGAGATGACAGCTGACAGGCATCTGTAATCCAGAAGGATGAGCAGTCCCGGACATTCGGCACTGAGCTGCTTACAATTGTCTTCCGGATGTTCCAGGAAAGATCCCGGCCCTGGCAGGGCTGATGTTTTCCTGGACGTCTGTGCCAGGCTGGCGAGGTACATCTGTCTCAGCATCAGGACGCTGTCGTCGTCTAGCTGGATGGCTGCCTGGTCCAGGTGTGGGACCCCTTGAAAGCTAACTAGCTCCCGGCTTGGGAATATGTTGCAGGATTGACCAGGTCCGGCAATTCGGTCCGCCCCCAATGGTTGGTGGGCGGCGGTGCCGACTGGAGCACCATTCCGGTGTAGTGCGCAAGCCGCTCGGGAACGGTCTGCATCCACGGGAATGTGATGATCTGATGTGGTGACTCCGATGCGCTTGTCAGGGGGGCTGGCCCCACTTCATTGAGCCCTTGAGAGCCTTTGTGAAAGATGACTGGGACGGCTTGATGATGTTGATTGCCGGAAGAAGGTCGAAATGTCGCTAGTGTGGAGGGCCCTCCGCACCTGAAACCCTGCGCTGCGCTGGTTGTCCTCTGGGCACCTGTTGTGCAGCCCGTCAGGGTGTCCACTCATGGGACATCCTCCACTGTTCCAGCTCATCTGCACTTGAGACAAAGTGCTCCCCGGGCCGGCTTGGCATGCTCAACAAGCACCGACCAGCCTTGGTACTCCTTGCCTTGGCCTTCGCCTCTGCAACGTTAGCACCCGCGTGGGCCGGAGCGTACATGGCTTTAGAGAGGGTAGGGGAAAGGGGGTTTTTTCAAGTCAAGACATGACAGGTTTGGTCCACTTGAGCCAAAATGATTCTCAGGTGGACCCTTACACTGAGTGAAGTCAAGTGCACACCTACGGCTACACTTCTGCCAATTTTTGCGCGCTTTCTCGGGGCCGATTGGCTGGTGTCTTTTCGTCCCCTTGAAATTTAGAGGGTGGGGTTGGAACGCCAGCCTATAGTTAAACGATCTGTGTTACTGACGGCTGTTGCAGAACAAATTATCAACAAAATTGGCCCTTGAATTTCACAGGATGTCTTTCGTTGTTACTCAGCGGTCACTACAGAATGGAGGGTGGGATCTACGTCATGGCGGCCGCGCCTGAAATCCAAGCGTCATTTTGCCGTGGGCGAGTTGGCGCGCAATCCAAGCAGGTTGGAGACCCACTCTGTAGATTCAATTCTGTAGTTACGAAAAGTTGCCCAAAAATCAACACAAACACAAACGCATCCACAAGTAGCATCCCCAGTTTGATCAGTGCCAGCATCCTCTCCAAAAGCCGCTGGGAGCTGCTGCAGGCATAGTCGGCAAACTCAAGCTGACACATCTCCCATTGATTCGCACATCACACACACATCCACAAACCAGTCATGTGTAGTGTGTGTGTGTGTGTGTGTGTGTGTGTGTGTGTGTGTGTGTGTGTGTGTGTGTGTGTGTGTGTGTGTGTGTGTGTGTGTGTGTGTGTGTGTGTGTGTGTGTGTGTGTGTGTGTGTGTGTGTGTGTGTGTGTGTGTGTGTGTGTGTGTGTGTGTGTGTGTGTGTGTGTGTGTGTGTGTGTGTGTGTGTGTGTGTGTGTGTGTGTGTGTGTGTGTGTGTGTGTGTGTGTGTGTGTGTGTGTGTGTGTGTGTGTGTGTGTGTGTGTGTGTGTGTGTGTGTGTGTGTGTGTGTGTGTGTGTGTGTGTGTGTGTGTGTGTGTGTGTGTGTGTGTGTGTGTGTGTGTGTGTGTGTGTGTGTGTGTGTGTGTGTGTGTGTGTGTGTGTGTGTGTGTGTGTGTGTGTGTGTGTGTGTGTGTGTGTGTGTGTGTGTGTGTGTGTGTGTGTGTTTTTGCAACGACTCTTAGCATTTTGTATTCCGACGATGGTCTGTTGATGCCAAACAAATAAGGGATGTTGCTAGGTGCTTCAACCAAGGAAGCTGTTAAACCCCCTAGGATTGCGCAAGGTCCACCGGTCAAATTGTCCCTAAAGCCCAGTCAAATTCCCGGCCTCAGTGAAAACCCTAAAGCTTCGCTTAACCCCCAAACAAACACAGCACTTCAAGGCAAACCAAAGCACACTCAAGGCCTGGCAAAACATGCTGCCGAGGCGGGCAACGCGAAGCGTTTACCTGTTCTCTACAAATTGCCTAATCAAGCACAACCCTCAACAAGATTCGCCAAGAAAGCAAGACACAGGCAACCTCTACAAAATGAAAGGGCTTGGTAGCAACTCATTTTGTACAAATGGGTTTGCTACAGAATGCGCGCGGACAACGCGAGGCGTGACCCTTTCCCTCGAAAATGGGAGGTCAACCGGTCAACCCCTCACTCGGGAACGCGCCTGGAGAGCGTCAAGCTCTTCTTTGGCCGCCACGTGGTCGGAGCCCAGCTCGTTCAGCATCTGGAAAGACTTGGACTATGAACACGCGGTTTAGTAACTCACTGTGTCGGAGGTCACGCCGCAGTTCGCAACGGTATACCCCATTCCAGTAACATGTCTCCAGATAAAGGCCACGCTTTCCACGAAGGATTCTCTGGGCAACGCGTGTTGGAATGGGCGCTTTCCATTGGCTGCATTAGGTACAATTGGAACGTGTGAGGCACACTTCTGTGAATATTGAGTTGCGCGAGGACAAGTTGCTCTGCCATGGTTTCACTTGCCGCTCCAAAAAAGACCCTGGAAAAACGGCGACATTGCGTCTGGTGTGGCAAGTTGGTCGGGGGGGGGAGGGGCGAAACGCGCTGTCCACGCGGAATGCCTTTCACGAGCCGGCGGCGCAAAGGGTCGCTCGAACGCTTGACGGCTAAGTTGAGAGAACCAAGGTTCATCCGCCAAAGCGACGTCGCTGGCGACTTTTGCTGCGGCTCGGCCACCTGCTACGGCCGGGCGCACTGGTCAATCAGCAAGGATTATTTGCGTTTGGAATTGAATCGGCGCGTGCGGGGGCCCGGCAAACAAGCTCGTAGCACTAGACCGCCTCCGCTGCGGCAGAAGGTCATGCCCCTGAAGCCCTCCAGCCTCGATACCGTCGCGACTGCGGCAAGCCAAGCCATGCAAGAAACGGTGCTGGAAACCAGGCGCTGAACACCAATGTCGAATTCGACCTGCCTTTTGATACATTCACAGTTTGCTGTGACCACCAGCATGCGTTGTTGGAAACCAATCGAACTTTGCACCTGGCTAGAAGGGCTCTGCGCAATAACAAGTGCTGCTTAGAAGTTCCGCAGGGGCGAAGCCAGGTTGATGGCTTCAAGGACCAACACCTGTCCGTTGAGGATTTTCTTGGGCTGCGCCAAAAGTTCCTTGCGGCAATCCGCAAGATCATGCACTGGGGCTGAGGACCCCTTTCGTTGGATTCAAAATCGGGATCACGCGCAAAAAATGCGCGCCCCGGCCTTTTGGTGAGATATGCTCATGGAGGCCCCGGGGGGGCAGGTATTCTGGAAGCCTTGGCAACTAAGGTTCTCGGGGGAGGCAGCGCAACTCACTAACCCACCCGCAACCCCAAACAAACTCTTGCAATTTCGATGCCTTGTTCTTGTTGCTGGTCCTTTGGTGCTGATGTGAGCTTCCGCGGAAAGGTGGGGAGTGTAGATGCGTGTCTGTGTGCCTGTGATGCTTGTGTTTGCCTTTGCTGTTGTTGTGTTTTTAGAAGGGTGCCCTTCCACCTTGCCTTTAAGGGAGCCAAAATCAAAGGAACACCCCCTCTCTGGGTGCTCCCCCCGCCCCCGAGCAAGGCCACTTGTCTCCAACAAATCTCTCCGTGGCCTTTGGGATCACGCCAACAACCAGCCTCGACTTGTCAAATAACGCACCCCCTTGTTGATCAACCCTTCAGCTTCCCCAAGTCCGGGACCAGCTGGCACAGCACTAAGAATCTTGGAGGCCCAAATCTCTAAAATAGGCCTCCAACTTAGTGTTTTCCTTCAAGGGTCCCCTTCGCCTACAAAAAGCCGAGCCCTCCCTCATTTGAGGCGCCTTCTTCAGCGCCGACAGATCGACGGTGTTCGCATCCACCTGGCGGCAGGTGTTTGCCGCGCGGCTTCGGGTGCTATCCGTGAGCTACAGCCGGGGTCATTTGCGCAGTTGGGGGTGTCTTTTCTGTGAGTTTGTACCCTCGTTTTGCTGGTTTCAAGGGAAAACCACAAAGCAAACCGCTCGTCATTTTGGGGGTCCGAGTACTAACAAAAAACACCAACAAAAAACACATGCCCATTTGACCTTTCGATTCGGGACACGTGACTGAACCGAAAGATTGAAGCACAACAGTGGCTAGCAATTTAGAAATGCAGCTTCCCCGAAAATGCGTGGTTTGGATTGGTGTTTTGGATTGGTGGTTTGGAGTTTGGTGGTTTGGAGTTTGGTGGTTTGGAGTTTCCGTTTTGGAGGTTGAGTTAGAAATCCAGATCAATAACCGCCGTTTGCTGAAGTCCCCTGCCTGGGATACATGTCCAATGATGAAAGATTCCTTTCAAAACCAACAGAGGAAAATAGCAAAACCTATTCTTAAGCCAATGGAAGACAAAGGAGGGTCAAACACCCTCAAACCACCAATACCTGCGCAATTGCTATCAACTTGAATTCACCAGCTTCATTGAGCGTCTCGGGAGAACCATCCATCATCCATCACCTTCCATTTCTATCTGGGGTGCATGACTTCCATTTGCTTGAGTCCCCTGGAAACAATTGCAATATGTTCAGTAGCAGTAAGATCCCTTTCAAGACAACAGGAAACAACGACAAACATCTTCTGTAGAAAACCTGGGGGGGGGGGGCGGGGGAGGGTGCTGCTCCCATCATACCCCCCGATTACTGAATAGACTGCACTGGGCTTGATTTACCAGAGGGTTCCGCTAGATGAAAAATCGTCCCAACGAGTGGCAGGCTTGCAGCGCCTTGTTTCTGGGCTAAACGTGGAAGCACGGATTGTTTGTTGGTTTGTTGGACATGTACTTCAAGGAACCCCCCGGTTCACAGATGTCAACAAAAAAGCCGAGCCTGCAAGTTTGATGATTTCAAGTTCTGACAAGACAAAGGCGTCTGCTCCTAAGCAACCGCCCAACCCCGTTTCGCACAATGTGCTGAGGGCATGGCACGAAGTGGTCAGGGTGTAATACAAACTCATCTGCAAGCAAGACTATATTCCTCTGCCGGCAGGTGTTGCTTGGGTTCCGCTCAGTCTGCAGCGAAATCCCTCCAAAACAAGGTGGGTAAAAGGCAAATCTCAAACCTGGGCGGATGCGCATCGTGCTGTTTGGTCGCTTGCATCACGGCGTTGTCTTTGGAGACCCGCCTGAAGTAACGTGGCGAGCAGGGAAGGTCAACGGATGGTAAACTGATCTCCTTTTTGGGCAACATTGTTCTCAATTGTGCTACTTGGCAAAAACCAAAGCACCAAGCAGAATACAAGGCAAAGTTGCCCAAAAAGCGAGCATGTGAAGGTCCCTGGGTTGGGGTATGGTACGCTATGGTACCCTCGGTCCACACGGAGTGGGCATGGACATCATTTCCGCTTCTCTACAGCCTGTGCTGGCGCACTTGGGGTTCCCTACCCTAAGGGACAGCTGACTTGAAGGGGGGCTTCATAGCCGCCTCCGTAAAGAGGCGCCTTTTGCTGCGCTTCTTTTTGCGCGTGCACCCCCCGGTTGAACCCGTGCTGTTTGGTTCGCTGAGATTCCTACATAATATTGGCTGCAATTAAACTTCAGCCTATTTCAGCCCCTTACATTTCAGATGGCTGTGCGAGGGGGGGGCAATTCCAGTGGAGACTAGTAGCGCCGAATAGTCCACGTCCATTTGGGCCCTAAACCTGACAGGGGGAGTCTGGAAGGCCATCTTCGTCTATGAAGACCATGTTCGTCTAAAAGTGACCCTCTGGTGGATTCCGTTTTAGTGGGCAGCAGAGTAAGGTGGATTCGCTTTGGGCAAGTGTGGGTTTCCCCTCCAAAAAGTTGGTCAACCTACTGGGGTTCCGTTGAAACGATCGCCACTTTTCGAGGTCCAAAGAGTGAAATTGAGGCACCCCTCAGTAATTGATGGCAACCCTGGACTAAGACACCCCCTGGTTGAATTTGATTGGGGCTTCTTCTAAAAGTGACCCTCTGGTGAATTCCGTGTTGCTCGGAAGCGAAAAACCGGGTGGATTCGCTTTGGGCAAGCGAGCCCCCCCGCAAAAAAAAAAAGGGCTACGAACGGAAGCGCTTTCGTTTGGGCGCCCAGGCTGGTACTCCGCGGCTGCTTGCTGCTCCTCCGCCTCCTGCATGACACTGGCTCCCGCTAGGGGAAAGCATCGTCTGAACCCTGGCAACCGCCACCAAAAAAAAAAAAGGCCGAAGGGCGACCCACTATAGCACTCTCTGGTCCATAATCTTGGAACCCCACAGGAAAACAACGAAAACAATCATGGAACTTCCTGTGCAAAATGAAGCTGGCACTCACAAATGTAGCTGGCAAAAGGAACGGTAGCTGAAGCCGAACATGGCGCTGGTCCAATATCCACAAACTTCCATGCAGTGGTCGGAATGCCGTCCTGCAAGGAGAAACGCCCGTTGTGGTGGCTGAAAATCTGAAGGGAGGCCCAACCAAAAATCTCTAAGGCTCCAAGTACCTTCCAGGGATGTACTTTACCCCCTTTTTAACACACCAAAAACCATCCTAAAAGGGTACTTAGACCCAAGTAGGGAATGTTGACCCAGGATTAAACCCTTCCCAGTAATGCTGTGGATAGACGAAATCCTGCGGGTTTGCAGTGATCCCAGTCCCTACCAAAAGCAGCCTCCGTCGAAATCAACATCAACCAGCCCTTCTGCATGCTCCGGGGTGCCCACTCAGAAAGGAACGCCAGAAACAAGTAACAGGGGTAAAGCTGGATTTCCCAAAATCACAAGTTGACGCATCTTACTGGTGGCTTCCGTTCCAAAACGGGACATGGAGGAAGCCTGAGTAGATGATAGGAACCCCGACTACGACACCGGTTGACTTTGCTCGGCGCGTGTTCCATTTTAGTGAGAATCCGGATCTTGGGGCCAACACCCCTATGAATAGGGCGGGTTCTACCTCGATCCGGTTCAACATTACCCTGCCGGTCCGGGAAGCCAATACCCCTGGTAGGACCCCACCCTTCAAGCGAGCCTGCGCCCAAAACCCGAGCTAACGTGTTGACACAGGAACATAGGGTTGTCAGGGAGGCTCCTGACTGTATCTCTCAGCAACTTGTCCAACTTTTTTTCGCCGGCACCAGACTTAAGTGTTTGTTTGTGACAATGAGCAACACCAAAAACAACCAGAAGGCCAAACGCACAACAAGAACAGTCTGGGTGCAAAACTGATCCATACCCTTTTGGGCTCCAGTTGTAAAAGCTAAACATTGTCGGCTTCTTGGCACTCATGCTCCTATCAGGGTCCCTTGAAAGCCTTGGGCCAGTCACAAAGCCACTTAGCTAAAGCAGGAACAGATCCCTTGAAGTAAAAAGGCCCGGTTCTTCCTCCGGAACCGAGTGAGTATGAGCGGCCGCACGCACCTAAACGTTGACCGAGAAATGGTCGGTCAGTCACAATTGTCTCTGCCCAAAGTGAATCGACCTGAAATGACCTTTTGGTTTCCTTTGGGGCCACTAAAGCCGGGAACCCAAAAAGGTGTGATTTCAGGTCCAGTCGCTTTGGTTGACAAGATGGCAACGGAGTTGTTTCGACTTCCGGGCGCCCGAGCCAAGGAGGTGACCTCGGATCGACTCCATGTGATTTCTCCGGTGAGCAAAAACGGGGCTGTGGGGGGAATCTCTCCCCCCCCCAAGTTGGTGCAACAGTTTTGCTTTTGGTTTCCCTTTAAAGCCACTAAAAAGGGCCTTAAGAAAAGAGAGAACCACATAGGTTTGTCGCAAAATAGGGAACATGATGTTCGTACTTCAGCGCCCATCACTTGCCCTTGCTTTAGTTTGTGTTACTTTGGGAGGAAACCGAACCAGGATCAGAAAAGGATGCCACAAAAGAACTGTCTGAATTACCCGAGCTGTCAGAAGTGCGCTTCTCCGAGCCATGTGATGCTACCTTCCCCAACATGGACCCGTCAATTTGGCCTGGCTTTCAGTCAACCTCGGAATTTTCACAGCAGTAACCAGAATTCCCAAACTGAAATGGGGGTCTCTAATCGGCACCCTCAAAATGGGGTGGTGTCCCTTCACGGGTATGCTAAAAAAGGACACACACAATTCAGGAATGGTCGCCTTGACAGAGTGACCTTTCAAAGGAAAATTATCGAAACCAAGACCCCCCGAAACGTCATGTTAATTGGTGGGAGGGTAATTGCTCGTTTTTGGTCTGGACATGTTTGGACATGTTGCGTCGCAAAGAGTGTGCGTCATATTGTGCAGCTCAGGAATTTCGGGCTTCACCCGGTCACTGGGTCGGCACAACGAGTAACAGCAACATCTGTTTTAGCAGTGAATTTACTCGCCGTGCCACCAAACATGCCCAAAAAACTTCAGCGACGTGACCCATGTAAAACTCTAGAATGTGTGTCACTCGATTGAAACCTTGGTTGCTGTTGACCCCTCCGCGAAATGTTAAACTTTGTGTGGGTTCCATTCTGAAAACCCTTCAGTTCCCTTTCCAATAGCAATCTAGTAACATAGCTTTACCCATATATCAATAAGCTCAGGTAATCCGAGGCTCCGAATCATCACCCGCCCAAAGAAGGCCGCTGACCGATGGTCCAACTCTCTACCCGTGGGTGTTGGTCATCCGACAAGACATGCTCGCCACTCAACCCATGCGTCAAAACAAATGGCTTTTCTGTGGTAGCCCCGACCAAGTGATTACAAAACCCAAGGTACAAACAAGTCGTCAAAGAACATGTCAATGAAGATCTCACTTCTGAGTGAATGGGCCAACAAGAGTCAAACACTTTTTGCTTACACTAAAATGGTAACCGGAAGAAGTTAAAGTTCAGGAACTCGGGGAGTGACAGGAGGAATGTCGGAATAACTGGTTTCGCTTTGCAAACTCTCGCGCGCCCGTCAATCCCGCCTATGGTTGTCAGGCCCTTTTTCCTCAGAGGGGACCCTTCAAGAAGACACTCAAGAAAGAACACCGCACCAAAACTCTGCACTCTGTTGGGACAAGAGAAACCGTTTTTGAGATCGCTTCCGTTCTTAGGCAGCGAGCAAACACGGATTGGACGATTGGGATCAACGCAGCTGGACAAAGATCAAAACGGCGCAAACAAAATCAAAGCAACCCAAAGCGACCTAAATGGCCCCACCTTACTAACAGCCCATCGTTGGTTTCGTCCACTTGCGAGAATCCACTGTTCCACTACGAAAAAGGCAAGCAAAACACCCGCCCAGTGACTCCATGTACACTGGCAAATGGGACCATAGCGAGCCCCTCAAAGGAAACCCGACCAGAGCGGTCTACCCAGAGCCAAGTACAGAATTAAGAAGGCGGCCGTACCAATTCAAACTATCGTCGGGACTATCCCTGACTAACCTTCATCTGATGGGTTTTGATTGTGGCTCGAGTGATCATCGGAGCATTCCCTCCCCTGCTAGGAACCAGCAAGAACCTCAACCTCGGCTCGTGGCGCGCTTGTGGATGTCGGACTTGACATACTCGAGCATGGACACCTGTTCGCTCGAAGCCGCCCCTTGGGCAATGCCAAATGAGACCAAGAGCCACCGACTTTCCTAATTGGCAGCTTCAGCGGTGAATTCCCATTTACCCTCTACAAGGACCAGGGGATACCCAAAAGTTCAAATCCAACTCCAAGCCACCAATTAAGGATTGCCTGAGAAGGGCCGTCAAAACCATAGCTGAGGACCTGGTGCGACCTTGGGCGGGCAATTTAGCCCAAAAAGGGCCAAACAGTTTGAACACCCCACCCCCATGGCTGCCAAATTCCCCCCCTCAATCCCAACTGATACGGCCTCGGCAGTGTTCAACGCCCCCTCGAAAGCAATCAAAGAGCATGGTGGGAAAAACCATCTAATTACACACAAACCTGCAAGTTTTGTTCGAACAAATAAACAACTCCAGGCATCCCCTGGTAACATTTTCCTACATGGCTAATCGCTCATTTTACCCGGAGCCGTGGAATCGCTCAAAACCCAAATAAGCAAATACTTGGGTGTGTCCTAAAGTAGGAATCGGACCTCCCCCAAATGATATGTTCTTTCAAACCACCCCAACAAGGGTGGCTTCAAAAACCGCCACACCATAATAGTGGGAACTTTGGACAAACTTTAGTTAGTTCACGGGGTGTCTCCCTTTTTAATCGGGATTGATCACATGGGCCCTGGATCTGTCGAGATACTGACAACTGATTCCCAGGGCCCCGTGCCACTTGCTTGCCCCTGCCTGGCGCAAGGCAAATCGGCACACATCGGCACTCCGGAAGGAGAAATCATTCCAGGATTCCAGGTGTTCCCTTAGAATTGGGAAGTGTAGTAGAGGATCCAAATCCCAAAATTGAGTTTCGCTGGATTTCGACCGGGGAACCTATCCGAAACTGGGCCAGACCCAGATTCGAGTTGCAGGAACTATTGAAAGGTGGATTCTACCTAAATGTCAGCACGGGCCGCAGTCAATTTTTCTTGAGCCAGTATCACGTCGGATTACCTATCAACACCCCCCGCTTTGCAGAGGTGCGTTGGTGAGAACAGTACTTTGTACATGTTTCCCCCCCAGGCCTGAAGCAAAGTCCTCTGAGGTCGCGACGATGAAGACGATAGGCCTCAGTGTGATAGGTGGCAAGTCATGGTAGTTTGGGGCCTGTTGCATCATTGGCCGCTGCAACTGCAATGCGCTTGATCTTTTGCAGGAGCGTGCCAATCGAATCGGCCGACCACGACTTCCGTCGGGCAGTACACATGTAATTCTCATGTGAATGCTTGAAACTGAATTCAATTTGCTGCCGCAAACGGAGGTGATCTCACGACCACAGCTTCCGCTGGGCGAAATCGGGATGACAGCCGGTGGTGGCGGCCGTGGATTGACCTACGGCCGCGGCTTCCGCCGGGCGTGCAAACATAGCACAGCTAATGTTGCGGCATCAATGGATGAAAGATAATAGGTTTCGAACATGACATCACCAATGAATTTGAAATGGTTACCGCAACAAAAGCAAAGCATTTCATGATTGATGCGGGTGCTCACCATCCCCACGGGCCCTGACGCCATTGATCCCATCCATAGGACCACCCGTAACTCCAAGAGCTCCAGTCCTGATGCCCCTTGTTCTTGCCTTTGCCTTTGCCCTTGCTCTTTCCCTTGGCATAGGGCTCGGGGCGGATGGACCTGGTGATTGCCCTCCACTGAGTGTTCCTCGCCTCGACAGGATAGCTCCTTGTCCGGCCGGATGAGAATTGTGGGATCTCCAGTTCGCCTGTGCTAATCGTTCCTTGGGAGTCGTACTTGGTCCAGGAGGCACGGATGAAGCTGATCATCACCTCCAAGATGTTCTCGACGCTCCCTTCCGGGACGTATGATCCGCTGTGCCCAATGATGATAGGCACCTGATTTCCGGGAATGAAACGATAGGCACACATGACCGCAAACTGCATGATGGTGTAGAATCTCGCATGGTGTGCGATGAAAGCCTCCGTTGACACGTTCAACTCGTGGGGATTGCGCTTGTTGGGGCCGGGAATGAATACCAACTTCGTGCCAGTGTTCTGGGACCCTCCCCGATCGCGCTCCTCCCTTGTGCGGCCAGGGTCCGCAACGACCGCTCGGGCGATCCTGCCCAGGAAATCCAGGCTTTCAGGAGTCAACCCTTGCGTAGCGCAATTGTAGGCATAGAACGGGTCGACCGAGAGGCGGTCGGACACCTTCTCGCAGCCCATTGCCAGCGCTTTGGTCAGATGCGTCTTTGCCGTCTTTCTGAGTGACGCCTCGACGGAGATTCCTCCCCGCTTGTCGCCTTCCTTGGCATGATGCTTGGAGCGGATCCACTTCCCACCGCCTCCCTGGAGGTCCTCCAAATAGAAGACCATGTTTTGGAGAGATGCGGTGTGCTCAAGGCGCACAACCTCGGTGGCGATCCGGGCATCCGTCCACGCGACCATGTCTGATCGGCATTCCTGACACAAAAGGTAGCCGTCGATCTGCTTGTTGCCACACCTCTTGTTCCAGCACGTCACAACCGGGTTCTTCATCATGGTCGTGAAGAAGAGGTCTTCCCAATCTGGCTCGTTCTGGTAGCGGTTCCGAAGGTTGTTCCAGCCGCGACCATGCCCTTTCTCTCCCCTGGAGAGTTCGGGCACCCGTCGAAGGGTTGCAGGCGCAATCTGATATGTCGGCCCTGCAGGTCTCTCATTCGACTTCCCCTTCCGGGGAGCGAGCTCATCGATCGTGGCAATCTCAGTCACGGCACCAGGAAGCAATTTGCCGTTCTTCGTCCCCTCAACGACAGTCCGCCAATGCCTCCAGGCCTTTTCCGCGGTCAGGGTGTTTTCGCTTCTGAAGAAGTTCGGATTTGTCTCCTGTGGACCTGGCGTGAGCTCGGATGTCAACGCTTCGCGGTACCTTTTGCGAAGCTCGGGGTACGCACGATTGAAATAGAGGAACTCATTCTTGCGGGTGTGGAAAGCGTAAATGATATATGCGTTTCCAACCCAATCTGCAGACATAAAGGCCTCATCGCTCGTGAAGAGCCGAATGCCGTCCTGCATCATGAGCTCCGTATCGAAAGCAATCGTGACGGGCCTTCCGGCTCGCGTTCCCGCCAGCTTCCTCATCTGTGCCTCCCAGGGTGGCGTTGGGTTGAAGTAGACGTGTGCTCTGCCAGTCGACTTCGGATAGCCCCCCGGGACAAGGCCAAACTTGATAATGCTCTCGGCAGACCTGAGGTCACAGGTGTGATAGAGAACAGCAGGGAAGCCCCTACGCCAGAGATCCGTCTGCTCAGGATGCCGCACCGCTCTCGGGTATTGCCCGCCCAAGTACTTGGCCGCAGTGAACTCTTCGTCAAAGGAATACAAATTCGTCAGGATGGCCTGCTCGGTGTATTTCCTGGTGAGCTCGTTGCGGTGTCCTTGCACGGCCCTCACCCGCAACGCCTGATACGGCAATCCTTTCCAGGATGCTTCCCCCAATGGAGGGGGCCCAACCATCACGCGGAATCTTCGGGTGTTGTTATTCCGGATGCAGACCATCAACTCGCAAGGCCTGACATTGGCAATCCGGTCGTTCAAATGCCTGACCAGTGCATCGAACTCCACCGACAAATCGATTCCACGGAACGGTGGGTGTGGTTTCCCGTCCTTGAATGCCCCTCCCCGGAGGAAGTACGACATCTTTTTCGAGATAGCCACAAGCCTGTAATCGCGGTCCATATTGACCTTGGGGACATGCCCCATATCCTCGACCTCGAGCCATTCGCATTGCTCCTCGGCCGGGATCTTCGTGTTGATCTTCCGGGTTTTGGCCCAGTCCTCCCAAAAGATCTTTTCCTGCTTCGGGTCCTTCTGCTTCTTCGACCGGGGTTCCCCCTCGGCGTTGCCAGGCGGCGCTTTGGCCTTTGCAGTCCTCGGCATCGCCTTCACCTGGGGCTTGTCGGCCGAATCGGCTGCCGTGGGATCCGACTCGTCTCCAATCTCGATGAAACCAGTCGACTGGGGTTCCCCCACAGCGCCTTTTGCAGCAGCTCCGCGTCTTGATGGCGGGGGAGTTGGCGGTTGCTTGGATGTGCTGGTGCCCTCCGTTACGGATTCAAAAGTGACCGACTCCGCGGTGATCATGGAGCTCATTCCCGCCGCTTCGGTCTCATCCGCTTCCGACATCAGCTCTAGCGATACCACCGTCTCCTGATCGAACGGATCTCCCTCCGCAATGATGATCGACTGGCCTTCCGGCGCAGCGCGGTGAACCCCTGGCGGCAAATTGGACGTGTCCCACCCAAAGTCTTGGGTGTCGTCGCCGAGCAGGAGCCATTTGTCCTCATCGTCCGGCACGATGGACAATCCGTGCTGTTCCGCCGTGTGGCCTATGTACTGTGACATGGCGATCTCGACACGGTCTAGCTCGTCGTCGGAGTTCTCTTCTCCTTTGTCGACGGCCTCGAGAATGATCTCGGATTCATCGACCGTGGCCCCCCGCATCTCGATGGTCATGGCATTATAGGATTCATCCTCTGCAATCTTCATCCATGCGGCTACGTCCACGTCGATCTCTTCGCCCTCCTGGTCATGGGACCAGTCGGGCTTCTCTTCCATGGCAGCGTACTCGTGGAGTGCCTTGGCCAGTTTCAGGCACGTCGGCCAGCCGAAGAGCACCGGGTCCACCGGCTCCCCCTTTACGTAGGGCTCCACGCTCCCGATAGCCGGGAGGGCACATCTGATTCTCTGGGCCAACAGTTGCGTGTTGATAGCCGCATGTAGGAACTTCGACACAACCTTCCGGTTGGCATTGCTGTATGTCATATGCACATCATCGTACCTGTGAGCAAGCAATGTCATGACCGACGGGTCGATCGAGTCGATCCCCTTGATGCGGGTCCCATCGTCGATGTCCTCATCTGCCAGGTGTCGGAGGCAGCCGTTCATGGCCTCATTGTAATCGGAAGTGAGGCCATAGTCCTCGGCGTCCGGGTTACTGATGAAAGTAATGTCCCGAATGCGTCCGAGCCCAACAGCCTCCTTGAAAAAGTCGAGCTGCTCAAACACACGGGTCTTCTGAACCTTTGGCCATTCCGACGCGGCCTTCCGGCCCGCCTCCGTACGGTTGAACCGTTTCTCATGGATCCATCTGCACCCCACGTACCCATAGTTGCCGAAGACATCGTTTCCTCCCCACAAAACGTAAACCGAGATGGGAAGCTGTTTGATGCCCTTCTGGGAGTTGTCCTCGGCGATGAATCGCACTTTGGTCTCCATGGTGCTATAAATAGCGTCAAGCCCTTTTCCCCAATCCATGCCATGGTGGATGTTGCGGACCCCCTTCAGCTGTTCGGCCTGAAGCAGCTCCGCCACATGGTGCTTGGTTGGGAATTTGTCATTCGGGTCTTCGACCATGGCGCAGGAAGAGTCTCCAATGACCAAAATGTCGACCTCCTCTTCCGAGGGGCATGGCACAGCGCGAAATTCTGCTGGGGCGTTGCGCCCTAGGACTTGGATCAAGTCCCAATAAGCAATTTCTGAATTGCTCCCGGCTAGGGTTCCCCCCAGCATCACTCCCGGTGCCTGTTCTTGCGATGCGATAGTCCGAGTCACCGTGTCCGGTTCCGGGATGGTCGCAATCGCTGCCTGCGTCTGGAACTGCTTCATCAGCTTGTCCCATTCCACCAAATTGTAGATGGTGCGTTGAATGTCGAGCTCCTTCTCCACCACGTCATTGAGCAGGATATCAACGGAGGGTGC